GGTTTGCTTTGTTTCTAGCGACTTCCGACTCCGAGTTCGGGAAAAAGACTTACGGAGGTTACTTCAATGTCTTCGTCTCGACTTTCAGCGACGAATCCGAGCAATGGGATCTATTCCGAGTCATCGACGGCAAATTTCCCGACGAGAATGATCTCTATAATACGATTGGATCATCAAGCTTTGCTCCGTTTGCCACAAACTCGATCAGATGAATAAGAAAGTTCCCGACATCTGTTTCGGTCACCAGGTTTCAATTTCAGCATATGTATTATACCATTTTTACGTCAAAATGGTGTAACACTAAAATGCTATTGAGTTTACTCCAATGTATTACACTATTTTTAACACCAAAAATAACATTCGAAACATATTCTCTTTCTTAATTTCTTAATATTTACGAATTAACCCCAAATATTTTTTTAAGTTAAAAAAGTTATAAAATAATTTAAATTTAACATCTATTATATAAAAAAAATTCCTTTCTTAACATATAAAATAGCAAAATATATTAAACTTTTGTTTAGTTATCCTCAAACACATTATATTTGGATTTAATCATTACCATTTATATATGTTTTTCATCAATTTTATAAATTGATTAAAATTTGAAGGACAATTTTATAAATAAAAAAATTCAACACCAAAATGGTGTAGAAAATGAGTCTACACCATTTTAGTGTTAAAATAGTGTTGGATTGGGGATAATTTTACACCAAAATGAGATTTGGTGCAGAATTTGGTGTTGGATTGGAGATGCTCTAAACCACATAAAAACCTTTCTATATAATAATAAAACCATATCAAAAGCCATAAAAACCGTGATATATCAGTCACCAAGTTTCAATTTTTTTTATTTTTGTTTCAATTTTCTGATTTGGATCTGATCGATTGGATTCTTGGGGTTTAGAATGACTTGAGTTTTGGTAGACATGTATTTAGATTTGTATTTAGTAAAAAAAAACTTATTTACATTAGTTATTAGTATATTACAAAATTGTAGAATCATACTTATTTTTGGGTATCTATGGTTCGAAACGATAGATTTAAAATTTATTTTATATAGTTATATCTTTCTAATATTTTTGTATACTACAAGATAAAATTTATTAATATACAACTAAAATTCATAATCTCGCACTTGTTGCGAGTCCAAATCTAGTTAAACAATGAAACGTAAAAACTATAAGTAGAACTCTATCATTGAAATATTATATTCTTATATTTGTAACTTATCATATACATCGCTTACAATTTAGGACATACACATTTTCCATTTATACAATCTGCTCTACCACGATCACAAACTTTGTGATAGCACTCAAGGTATGTGTCACATATTCCTTGATGATTCACATGGACTTTATTTGTATCCAATCTTTGCAACTTAGAAGGAGAACAGTCGCAAGCTCCATCTTTACAATATGCCAGACCTGAGTTACAATGCATGTCTGAACACTCAATGTTTCTTTCACACTTGGCTTCCGCAAGATCTTGTCCTTCATATGTATATAATGTGTTAGTTCAATATGAATTATGATATAAATAAAATGATTTAATAGATTGGTTTCCATCGGTAGTTTTCACATTTTTCTAAGCTTATATATTTTCTTCTTAATAATATTTCTCT